ATTTATTTATTTATTTATTTATTTGAGAGAGAGAGAATGAGAGACAGAGAGCATGAAAGGGAGGAGGGTCAGAGGGAGAAGCAGACCCCCCGCTGAGCAGGGAGCCCAATGCGGGACTCGATCCCGGGACTCCAGGATCATGACCTGAGCCGAAGGCAGTCGCTTAACCAACTGAGCCACCCAGGCACCCTGTGAAGGGAATCCTGATAGGGCTTGTGGTTAACAGTTAGTGACTTTAAGTCATTCTTTAATGGTTAATTTCCATTTTATCTATCTTGAAGGAGCTGTTCAGAGCATAGATATTCATAATAATGAAACTTTCATTGAAGCAGCTTGAGTAAAAATGTATGAGAGACTCCAGGCTAAAGTAAAATATTGAGAATGATATTTTTATATTATATTTCATATTGGAGAAAAGCCTTTTTATTCAAATTCATTTGGAAGCTTCAACTATTTTCCTATTTATACTGTACTTATAACATTTTATCTGAATTAACATGGTATATTTTAAATTTAAGACTGATTTATCTGTAGTTTCTGACATGGTTTCAAATTAATCCAAATTTTCAGTACATGAGGATTTTTAAATTTTATGTATTTTAAGGCTTCATCTTGATGTACAATAGGAATCCAATAAAACTTACTAACCTTTTAAAACAATTATCCTCTCTGAGAATATATGCTTCATTTTTCTTTTGTTCTCCACGTAGAAAAGAGGGAGGAAGGAGAAAAGATTTAAATATGTGTAGTTTATTACAGTTGCACTTTAAAATAGCATTTGTTTATAAGCAGGTATGTGGCATTTAGGTGACATTTTATGTATAGTTAAATCTAAATGAAATAAAATGTGAGAAATACAAATGGTCATTATACACATTTCTTTTTTCTTTGCTATGGAAGCATTATTTTTAAATATAAACAATCGTCTCATTTCCAAAAGAAAAAAATTAGTAATCCTAGATTTGAATGCCCTGTGTCCTCTGAATTTCCCCCATTCTGATTGTTACTATTTTGGTCTGTTAGTAGGGAACAATACACTGCGAAGCTCCAAATGAGATCACATTCTATGAGTCCAACCTCCAGAGAAGATGGACAAAATATTACCCCAAAGAGTTGTGTAAGATCAGATTCTACTTTCATTTGTTTGTTTGTTATTTTAAAATAACTCCACAAATTTTTAGTTTCATGTTTGTCAAAGTTCCAACAATTAACTTAAAAACAGTGAAAACAACCTAAAGGTTTTGGTGAGCATCCTGATATCAAAGAAAATGGTGTGTTTGGTATATTCCATAGTGTTCCTTCTGCTTTCTCAATGATTCTGAGGCATCATGTGAAGCAGTATGTTGTTTCTCTTGTGCATTGAAGAATAACTTTGGAAAGCTTCATTTTGTAGCTGTTTTTTTCCATTTCCCTTTTACTCAGTACATATAT